CTCCCTCTCTCCCTCTCTCCCTCTCTCCCTCTCTCCCTCTCTCTCCCTCTCCCTCCCTCTCCCTCTCTCTTCCCCACCCATGTGAAGATACAAACAGAAATGGGCCATCTGCAAACCAGGAAGAGGGCCCTCAGCAGTCACCAGATCTGGTAGCACCTTGATTCTGGATTTTCCAGACTGTAAGAAATAAACATTTGTCTAAGCCACTCATCAGTGGTATTCTGTTACCATCTAAGACACGTGTTGGTTTGCCCAAACCATTTCCTAATAGGTGTGGTGGTCAGGTGAAGAATCCAAAAAAAAAAAAAACCCCAATTACCACTTCTCTAAATATTTAAAAGCCAGAATTGAGACAACAAACTATTAAATAACTTATTTTATCTTCCTACCTTAACAAACACACCTACATGGTAACCTGGAAGGCCAGTTTGACTTTCAGATTTCTCAGATCCATTCATTATTTTGGTTTCTGTTTGTGTTTGTGTTTGTGTTTGGCTGGGCTAGAGATGAACCCAGGGCCCTGAGCATGCTAGGCAGGTGAGCTGTACCTTCAGCCCTGCACATGAATTCATGACTGGCATGTGAAGAGCTGGCTCTCAGTCCCCGCATGTCAGTCCTGTGTCCATCAGCACCAGCCCACCACCGCCCTTAGGCCAGTTCCGCCTTGCTCCCCAAAAGGCCTCACGTGCATACCGGTGGGCATTTCAGTCCACATCCCAAGTGTGCGGGATTAACTAACGGTCAACTTGTAACACCCAGCTGAACCGAGTCAGCGTCATTCTGGGTGTGGAAGGGCCACCTGAGGATTACTGCCAACAGCACGAAAGGAGAACTGGAGAGGAAAATGGTGTGCTGTTGATTCTTCTGAAGAGTTATATCATGCTGGTGTTCCTGACATGAACTCGGCTGTTTTCACCATCAGAGGAGTTCAAGTCCTCACTGTCACTGAGGATGGCTGCAGTTCTCTTTGGGGGAGCTCTGGTCCTTACCTTGAGCATCGCTTCCTGGCTCCAGGGCAGATCCCTCAGCCTGCTAGGACAGATCCTTCATCCTGCTGGCACAGACTTTCTAGTTTCCACCCCTGGCTTTTGGGCCTTCCCCATGTAGATCCCTGATACAAACTTGCATGAGACATTATCCTGGGCTCTAGGCCTCCAGCTGGACTTGTGGAAGACATTGCCCTGGGCTCTAGGTCTTCAGCTGGACTCGTGCAGGACATTGCTATGGGATTCAAGCCCTCAGCTGGACTTTCTGAGTCTCTAGTGTGTGGAAAGAACTCTTGCACTATTTTGCATTGGACTTTTTGGGTGAATATTATAAAATAATCCTATAAAGTACATGTCCTGTATTAAATTGTTTCCCATGCAAGTCCTAACTTCAATATCAAGCTCCATCTGCACCTTTAATCCGTAGTCACGGTCATCCCTTGGTCACTCCACAGGCCTATGGCACAGCCCTTGGGGTACAGTCTGCCTCTAGGACTCAAGCCCAGGGAAGAAAGGCCTGGGCCCTGGCATATCAGGCACTGGCAGTGCATGCTAGGCATGGTTGAGGAGGCACAGCTCCTCAGCCCTACCCTGAGGGGACAGGTGTGATTGCCCACAGACCTGAGAATAGGCCTGTCTTACCTGAGAACACCGAGGTCTAAGGGTAGCCCTGATTTTGCCAGCCAGCTCTGTCACCCACCTTTGTAGGTGACAGCTCACTCCCTTTGAGAGTCACTCAGTGCCATGCTAGTCCATGTGGCTCACGCAGCCTCACTCTGTACTCCTGCCAACTGGGCAGAAAGGTGCCTGCATAGAGATGCCCGGCTGAGGGCATGGGCCTGAAATCCAGCCAACTCAGCTGGTCAAACGTGTGCCCCAACCCAGCGGGGTGGCCACCTTTTTTTATTCACCTGCCTAGAGGGTCACTCATTTCCACTCCAGGACCTCGATCCATTCCATCCCTGGCCACAGTAATCAAAATGATCACCAGCAGAAATACCTGCTAGCAGAGACCACTTCAACGTCGGTGTGCGAAAACGATCTGGAGTTCTGTTTTTCCATGAGCCTAATGAACCAGCAGATTGGTACAGCTGCCAAAAAGAAACGAGGAAATAAAAAACCAGCGCTGTCTTCAACCACAATTACGGAAGCCTGGTGTACCAATCAAAGACAGACGCATTGTGATTTACACCCATCGGCCACATAAGATAATTGACATTTTTAATAACAAATTAGCCCTCTGGAAAATGAAGGGGGGGAAAAAAAAAAACAATAATCCAGTGCAGCCTCTAAACACAGCTCAAATTTTATTTGTTCTTTCAAGGTTTAACATTAAGGTTCTCAACCTTAGTTGCACATTAGATTCAACTGGGGAGCTTTTAAAAATATTAGCCTTAAAGCAAGCCCCTTCACCCCGGAGACTCCGGTTTAATTGGCCTGGGATGGTACCCAGGTAACAGTATTTTTTAAAAACTCCCCCAGTGACCATAATGTGCAGCCAGGAATGGAAACCACTGGTTTAATATTTAGCAGACACTTTGGAAAATGTGAACATTAGCTAGATAGTGCAGCATCACCTAAACCCCTAGTTCCCAGCCCAGAATTATCATCAGGAATATCTGCGGCAGCTTTGAAAACATTCAGATCTGACTCCTGGGCCTCAATCTCCTGCATCAGAATCACCTCTCGTGAGGCCCAGAACTCGGCATTTTTTTTTTCAAAGTTGCCCGCTTAATTTCAGCAATCTGCCAAGTTTCCCACAATAAGGTTCCTCTCCTAGGGACACATCCCCTCTCACCTCTGCTCAGCAGA